GATTAAAATCGTTGGGCTCAATGAAAAAATTAGGCAAGTCCAGTCAGTTTTTTTTTTAGAAAATTCTTTATTGAGTATTCAATCGAACAGAAAAATTCTTTACAAATATTTTCAACAACGTGACAAACCAATTCAATATCAATAAAATTAACAATGATATGTGTTGTATCATAATTTCTGTACAAAATCCAGACAAGTCCGGACTTACCTCATTTTTGCAGCGATTATGTAAATATTTGTTGTGATAATTACATAGGTATTATATTTTAGTACAAACTATGTATATATATACAGTGTGATTACGATAAGTGGAAACACTCAATAACTTTGTGCAGGCTTCATATATTTCAATTCTGCTTTTTTGGCTTACTAATAAACATACTTACACACATTTTCAGATAATTAGACTATTTTTGTCACAATTTTGCGCATGCGCATAAAAACTTTTTTTTTAATGACATGTCTTATATTTGACCTCAAATTATTTTTTTCTGTATATTTTAATGAATTTAAGTGGTTGAATTCCTTTTCTAAGTTAAAAATTGACCGAGTTATAGCAACTTGATTTTATGTTATTTGCATGGGTATAACAGATTATAAAATACATAATTAATAAAAATAAATATGTAATAATAAAAATAACTATCTAATCCAATTTATGAAATACCTGTTTACCTATTTTGTTTATCTTTATCAAAATTATCTTAGTAATTGTATTGTTTTTTTTTTTGTGAACCATATAAATAAATTATACAAAATAACTATATATTATACAACTATTTACTTTTATTTTATATTCTATTATTTTCATAATTTTAAAAATTTATTATAAATCAACTTAGGTACGAAGTAATATATATATATTATCCATAAGTCGTGCGAATCAAACTTTGTATTTATCAATATTAGATTAAACGCGAAAAGGTGAAAAGTTTTATCCGCTGTCGTTATAAAATATAATTGTTATCGATGCGGAATAATCTGAAAATATATAGCGATTTTAATTTTACACATCGTAAATGTAAAACAACATAACTATTTTCGTAATTTCATCATCAGTATATTGCCCCCTGAGCCAACTCTACATTTTCTTCGGTTGGGAACAACTGACCTAAATGAAGTGCTGAATTCTAAAAAAGTTAAAAGGTGCATGCAAAATTTGAGTTTAGCAACCTTTAAAACAAGGGAACAATGTTAATAGTTATGGAATGCAACAAACGGTCAAGTAAAAGTATATTGAAATTAAATTACGTTTCAGCACATCGTGACGAGACGGATGTGTGGAAACATACATAAATACAAAACTAATACGTACAATCAGTTAATAGTTAATATTATAACAATAGTTATTATTATTATAACATCGATCTCTAAGATGATAAAAATCCAAGTTTATAGTACCTATCGTAGTACTTGGACGTAGTTCGTGAATCAGAATTCGATGGTATACAAGCAATAAACACAAAAAAAGAATTGAGCATATGTTCGAAAAAAAAAATCACATCGTTCGGTACGACGTCTCGTTTGGCGTCAAAACGAGTACCATCGGAGTGTATCGAAAGGTCGTACATATGAAATGGGGTGTCGTACACGTTACACGTTCCCATGAGTTCGATGGACCGGTTACATGTGTTGCCGATCGAACCGGTCAGTTCGGCCGATCGTCTCTTCGTGGGAAACGATATCGAAAAGATACATGATAATCATAATAATAATACGATCGCGGTCCGGTTTTTTACGAACGTAACGGCCCCGTACGGGGGTCGCGTCTACGCGTAAAGGTCATGTAATAAAATGGGTTCGGATCGCGCGAAAACGATACCGGTTAAGGACACTACTCTATTGCTTATTCATAATTGCACACAACGGTGCGCACGGTTGTAGTTTTAACGCGGTATAGTTTTTTACTTTGCCAAGCCGATGGTTAAACAGACCAAGGTCGTTATCGTACCCAGAGACGTATTTAGAATTTCGACGCCCAGGGTACGGTTTTATTGTCACCCCTACACGTGTTTTATATAATTTTCAAGAAAGGTAATGTTTATAATCTGTGAATTCAACTTTTGATAATATTATCATGAAAATAAAAATCACTATGTGGTCACTTTGCAAAATCTTAAAATATTAAAATTTTTCCATTGACGAATGAAAATAGATTATATTTATTGATTATGGTTGTAAAAAAATGCTGCCACCCTTTAATTCAAAAAAAATATGCCACCCGGGCCAATGGTACCCCCTCGCCACCCATTAAATACGATCCTGATTGTACTTACGGACGTCAACGCTGTACGGAATCGGAAATGTTTTTTTTTGAATACCGTTAAATATTATTTTCCTTGTGTTTGCAGCTTCATACTTATCGGCACCGAAGACCGAGCGAGGTGATCGTTTCTCGACGAGAGTTTTTACCAAGAGGATTACAAAATAACACCACCGATGTGAATTCCAATTTATATGTTAATTGGAATGTGAATTTATTTATAGACGCAATGACGCGTCGTGTCAACGGCAAACCCTAACTGCGAAACCTAATAAGACCCCGTGTATTGTGATGAAGATTGGTATTGACGCTGTGCACGCCGATGATAATTTTTTTTTTTTTATTAACTTTGTACATAACTGTCGAACAATATGAATCATCTTGTGATTCAGCACAGATTAGAACCATATTTTATTACACTCAAATAATTAATTATAATTTTTGCATGGTTTACTATGAGTTTAATTATAAAACTAATGAGTTACCTGTGCAATTAAAAACAAAATCAATTTTCTTGTCAACTTATTTTATAATATCCGATGGTGTTAAATACAAGTTTTACGTCCCCGTGGAGGTTTTTAGATTAAATTATCTTAAAGTATAGCATATTTTAGTTTCTTGTCATAATGAACCAATTTAAAAAGTATTTATTTATTAAAAATGAAAACGTAAAACATGAATTTATTATATATTCTATTTTATTACATTATGTTTCTGATCTTCATAAAACTTCCACTAAGATTTTTTGAAAAAAATTGTTTGTAACCGTTTAACTTATAGTTTAAGTTATTTTTTTTTTTTTGCAAAAACATAAATTAAAATTGTATTCCTCAACACTGGTAAATTTATTGACTTTACGTTAAATGTTGTCAAGCGTCTCTAAATAATGAATAAATTACTTTTAAAAAAAAATCTCTTTTATATAATGAATACGATTAAATTATTCATAAGTCAATCGATGAGCATTATCGTGGTCAACGTGAATAAAGGACCGACCGGTGTTTTAGTTGCTGAAAGCAACATAAAATTATCCTTAACATGGTTTTTAACGTAAACATACATTCATGTATTATAATACGACCGTACAAAGAATCCAAACGTCATTTTGCTCCTTTAAACGAGCTAAAATCGTGACCAGTGCATTGTTTGTTCTCACTTACGATTGTTTATGCTATTGTTTTTTTAGTTCGAACAAGAATAACAAACATTAAAAACCACCCTCACGCGTGTGGCCGTTTGTTTTCACAAATAAGACCGTTATAACGCTGTTATCACATATATACGTAAATAAAAATGATTAACTTTACAGCGTAGAAAAATGACTGTTACCGAATTATGTTTGCTTTGGTGTTTCGTTCGAATACCCACGGAAAATTTGAGTAAACGCATACCTCGGCAGCGAATAACAAAAAAAAAAAATCATAGACTTGGTAAACCGGTGTTTTAAGCATACGAATACGTTTTACCCGGTACAAAATGGTTCAGTGTACATTCGTAGTGTTGTTTATTTTTTTAAGAAGACGAAAAATAAGAAGAGAACATTACCTATGGTGTGTCGTTTTTATTTTTCATTAAATAAAATGGATTCAAAGATATTTATATGTTAACACTCGTAAGATTTTCGTTTGGCTGTAAAATATTATCGAAAGAAGTTATCGAGAAAAAAAAACGCTCGATTATCCCCCTTTAAATGGAGTCTGTTCAACGAACAGAGCGTTTTTGTGCCATGCGAAAATCCCATTATACTGGCTAAAAAATCGTCGAACAATCAACTCGTCTATAGACCCCTGGACGCGACCTGTACGGTCGGCGATGGCTTTATGTGAGGCCCGGGGCACGGATAACGAAACGTGTTGCGTAAAAAGCTCGTTTTGGTCGTATTATTGTTGCGAAAATAACAAAGAAATTGTTTGACGGTATTCGGAGACACCAGTGCCGGTTAACAGGCCCTAGAGGTGGGCAAATGGTGCTGTAGAACCGAGCCCCGCGCTCGTAACGGGCCCCACAAATTATTTATTACGAATATCACTTTATCTATAGATAAAACTAATCTAGTCCCAGTACGCAAATCGCAACCCCTGTGTAGTCGTATGGTTTTTATAGGAAACGGGTTGTTATCGTCGAAAATCAAGACGGTACCAATTACGCATAGCTTTGAAGTATTGTACGCTTGTAAAATTGTTTATCGTCAACGACGGTTCGAAATATAGTTATAGTCAGTGGCGGATTAGGGGGCAGGCAAAAAGGCTTATAGCCTAGGGCGGTTTTTTTTTGTTGTAAAATTAAGGGTTATTATTGACTAATTAGGTATATTTATTTTAATATATTTTTTTTATATTTATCATATAAACATGAATAAAAATAATTTTAAAAAGTTATAATAATATATTAATATGTTCATTGTATGATGCGTACCTATAGGTTATAGTAAGAATATTACAATTATTATTACATTTTGACTAACTGGGAGAAATCCTCCGTACCCGTAGCGAATGAACCGAAATCCGACAACGGTCTCGAACGTGCCGCGGTCGAAGGCACTCGTTTCGACCGACAGCACATGATGTCGCCGCGCTGAAAGGGATGTGGGGGATGCGCCGCTGACCACGACAATGGGGTAGACACGCAGAAAACCTAGACCTGGTGCACGTGAAACTTGTAAGCGAGTGCATTTGCCGGAACGCACGGTACGTTTGCCGGTCGGTGATCCCGTGTTCTACGCGTGAACGTTACCTACCTATCGGCCTCACAGTCGTTTCCGTTCTTCCGCTCTTGGGCGCTCCTCGGCTCGTCCATGAGGCAACTGTGCAAACGCGCGTTCCAGATGAATATCGTTTTTCACGCGCGCGGTCGTCGGACACCCGAGCCGTAGACGCGCACTGCTAGACCCGATATCCGTGACTGCGAAAAATCCCATTGTCACCTCGCACACACGCGCCGGCGAGCAACACTTTTTTTCCAACACCTCCCCCAACCCCCGACCACCGCCACTTGTCGCGGTCCTTTCCTCCTCGTACGTTTTTCTCGGCTGAGCTCGGACCGACGGGGAGGGCAAAAAGAGTGGAAAAAAAAAATAAAAGAAAAGAATGACACCACGCGCATAGCCGCCGGCGCATTTTTTCCCCGGATCGAGCGCGGCGATTGGCGCACGCGGCAGTCGATGATGGGGAAAAAAATAAATAAAAGCGCGCCGAGAACAGCGGAGAGGAACGGGGGAGAAAAAAAAAAATAACGAATATGTACGGGGAGAAAAAATCCCTTTTCAAACACGCGCGCGTACCCTTTTCGTCCGGCCATGTCGGAAAAAGGGTCGACCGAGCCGCCCGGCCCCTTCGTCGCTGCGAATGCTGTACGCACGACGACGAACCGTCCGCAGTGGTCGTGGACGTGGTGTACGTGTCCTGCACGAAATATCTGCTTCTAAATCCGGTCGCCTTGCCGTGCCCGTAGCCCGTAAAACCGTGTGTAACGCTGTGATTATGTGTTGATCACGTCGCGAGCGGTTTCAGGGTTGAAAATTTCAAATTTGTTTCTGTTCTTGACGAGCATGTCGGCTTATCGTTTCGCATTGACCGCGTCGGTGGGCACTGCAGCTTTTATGTATGTGTGTGTGTGTGTGTGTTCACAATATTGTAAGTAAGAGAAAAATTAAAATCTGCTATAATGTCAGTGCGTCTATAACTACACGGATCTGTGCGATGCACTATGTAACATTTTAGATTTGACATTTACGTCATACCGTACTAAATTATTATGTGTCAAGTATTTTTCTTAGATCAATTTTTCAATAGTGATGATTTATAGAAATTATTCGACCAACGCGTGCAGTAGAGAAAATACTCATTAGTTCCTGTCCCCCAAGATAAGGGTTTTCTATGCGCACAAATTAATTATGTATTGATATTAGGTCAGAGAATAATCCTATAGTTTTACATGATGAAATAATGAATATGTTAAAAACGTGTCACAGCGTGTTTATCAGCGAATCATAATCGGCATTTTAATAATCACACGGAAAAAGCCGTATGCGGACTTTTTCAAGTTATAAGGTTTATTGTTCTCGAACAAAACTAATTAGATTTAACTAAAAATTATATAGATACATCCACACACACATATATATATATATATATATGTGTGTGTGAATGTAACATTTTATTTGTGATTTATAATTATATTTTCAAAACAAACGATGTTAAATGAAATACAAATAATCTCTACCAACTTCGATTACGTTAAAATTCGCTACTCAAGACTGTTATCACTGTTGTTGTCACTCGTGTTGGTTAAAATATATATACAGAAAAAAAATAATGAGAAAATAAAATATTTGTTATTTTTATTAGTGTTACCAAACGCGACTATTTATTTGATATTGAATAATATAACTATTAAGTATCCGAACGTCTTATGCATTATAGGAATATTTAATATAGCAAATATCATTGTTATTAAAATACAATTATAAATTAGGTACTATTAATATTACAGCTACGTCAATTTCGCAATCGGGAAATGGTTAATTTGTAAACGCACATTAATTTCAGCAATACAATACAACAGCCGATTTGATAAAATGTCTTTGATAATAATTTCTTAAGTATCCCAAAGCGAGAATAATTTATGCCCGTGGGTCTTACTACCGTTGCCATTAACAAAACGATAAATTGTCGGTACTCGGTGGAACTACCTTGCCACTCCCACTATTGTGTATATACGTGTATATTTAGGGTTGGTTGATGGACACTTTCGGTAGGAAATCTCCGGGAAAACATTCAAAGGGGTTGTTACCGATTAATTTCCCCCGTAATGCCACGCCGCACACACTCCTGCGTTCGCGTATATATGGATTTTGAACTTTTTCCGAGATTGCGCAAACAAGACGTTGGTTCGCCGAAGAAACACTCCATTAAGGTCGTGGGATAATTACTCCAAATATCGTGTGAGACCTGATAACCTAAGAGTATGCATATACTCGTGTTTATATATATATATATATATATATATATATATATATATATATATATGTATACGTATGTGTGCGCGTAATACACTGTGTATGTGTATGTGTAAAGTGCTGAAACCCTTTTCAATTTTCCGGTTCGAATCAGTTAAATACCAACTTTCTATCTGATGGCGTAAACTCTACATGCATTCATTGGGATCCCTCTTAATATAGTCACAATCGTACAATCTTAATGTGCGTACTTAGGGTTTCTTGCGGTGGCGATTGCATCAAAATGTAAAGACGATCCATCTGATTAACGTGGACGAGTCCGTGGCGATTTTATTGATATGTTTTCGTTGAGAATTAAAAGACGAAAATGTCGTGAGTGCGTTTCTCATTTTTTCATACGGAATTCCAGTGAAGTTCGATAATATTTTCAATATTTTTAATGAAATTGTAACATTTTTTAACAAATACCATTAGAAAAAATATAATGGATAACATATTTGTGTAACTTTACATAGGTATTTATGATAAATTATTCATTATTTACACTTATCTTGGTACATTTTTTTCTTTGAGTAAACTGAAATGTAAGTAAAGTAAGGTTAAATTAGTAATCCACAAATTTTCAAATGCATAATTATACGCCGAATCGGTATCACAAAAGTGGATATTTTCATTCATAACCCATTGGTGTACATCAAGGGCGTTGGTAAAGATTATTTATAGGGCTTGATATATTTAGGTAATAATAACTACTATTATTATCTTTATATTTACTAGCAAGACTTTTGGTGATCGACCCCCTCCCCCTATCTACGCCACCAATGTACACCTATACTTATCACACCGCACGTCTTCCAATTGTAACATTAACGGAACATATTGTTGATTAACCGAAAATTTTAAATAACAATCGACTGAATATATTTCCTTGTATAATCTTCAGTTTCAGTTATGATAATACAGTTATAATATAGTTATGATTATAGTATATTCTGTGCCTTGAAAATTTGAATGAATTACATAATTTTAATCGTTTCGACCTTTGAATAACTAGGTACATATACCATATGCATTTGAATTAATTTATACATGTATATGTTTACACTGTGATTGGTTTGCATTTACATTTTTGTATTTGATTATATTTCTCTATTGGTTTCAGTATTCAATTCAAATATACGTATGATGAAAAAGAAAAACGTGTGTTTGGTATAAAAGTTCAGACTGCGCTCGTCATTTTCGACCTCTTTCAGTTGGATCAATAAAAATAGGGAAAAGGTCTTCGTGTAATATTTAATTAAAAAAAAACGTTGTAACACATGTGATCAAATATTAATATGTATACGCATGGTACCTGACTGGATAATTAAAACAATTCGGCATTCATCGTATTGATTTTCGAACGGCATCGCGTATTAATTAAAATAATTTAATAACAAACGATAATCGTAATTGATGGTGCTAACTAATCGAACGAGACTATTTTGGTGATTTCTTTGAGTTTAAACATTAATAATAAATATGATTTCGATTGTTAATATTTTTTGAATTATATTTTATACGTTTAGTTAAAAATTATTTGCTCATAAAATCAATCTTATATTTTATAGGGTTAAGTCCTTTTAACCTAAAATTACATTGTGTTTGATCTTAGAATGAATTTTTGTGCTTCCAAAAAATTACTTAATATCAATGATTTAAAAAAATAGTAATAAAAATATAAGTTTATTTTTAAGGATAGTATAGGCGATAATGTTAATCCTCTTTTATTTTTATTTTTTGGTTATTTTTACTTTTTTGGTTCAAAAGTCCAGACTCTAGAAAATTGGTACAATACATTTAAAAATTATTAAACTTGAATTATTGATTTGAAAATTAGATATCTAATACACGAATTTATTAAAATATAAATGTTTTATTTCATACGATATAAAAATCATATATACATGATTATATTATTATGTTTCAACTAAAAAGTTGGAAATCAAATTTATAAGATAAAATACGATGCAACTAATATAATTCATCATATTTATTGATATACAATTTTAAAATTCTCATTAGTTAATAAAAATGCTACTATCGGTTTATACCTATTATATAATAGATATTTTAGTAATATGAAATGAAAAAAAAGAACTTAACATTTAATTACATTTTTCAAATACTGATTTGTTGTAATTGAAGTACTTTTTAAATTTACTTTTTAAAGATGGGTGCCCCATATTGTAAAAAAAAAAAAATAGTAATATCTATAAAACATTGGGAAAATTCCAATCTGTATCTATGCATAAAAAATTAAATAAATCAGAATAGTGGATATTTATGCGAGCATAACACTTTAATGCTAAATAATCGAGATCATTTAACAAATTCGCTAATAATAAGCGAATTTAAAGCGATAGAAATTGATTACTTCGCCATCGATACAATTTTCGACAGTGAAAACATTTTCTAAAGAGTTTTGAAATTTATAAATACTGTTTGGGATGTTTAAGTATGAAATATAAAGATTGGATTTTAATTTATATTATTATTACTTTGAATTCGTTTAGGTCGAAAAACGGGACTAGGTTCCGTGTCACTTTTCTTACAAAAACTGTAATGTTGACATTGACAGTTTGACATGATGTACTTAGTATGGGATAAAAAATATTTTTACCGAATACATTATAGTAATTTCCCAACGATTTTCCGGTTCAATTCAGTTTCCCATAAAATATTGTTTAACAATGACAATAAATAAAACGCAAGATCAAACATTAGTTTGCTGTGGCGTATATTCTGAAAATAACCGTTTTTCACATGGACAATTGTATCTATGTGTAGAGTTAGAATCAAACGCATAAGCGCCACAAAATGAAATTATGATTGTGGTATATCATGAGGTTTTTGACTTGTGCTATTTGTTAGTACATTACTACATTCAAGATTGTATATATAATACAA